GAGACTGGAAGTACTTACGGTCCACTTCTGGGTCTGCCGCCAAGTGCACGGAGGACCCCCCCACGCCTCCCCAGCTCAGCGATCGGCTATGGGGGGACCCCGGGTGCCCCCCTAGACCCAGGAGGCACCAGTTGCTGAGGCTGAGGGGGAGGGGTCCCCTGTGCACTCCACAGCAGACCCAGAAGTGGACTGAAAGTGCTTCTGATCCACTTCCAGGTCCACCGCCGAGCACGCTGGGGACCCCACCGTGCTCCCATGGGATGCACCACCTGCCTCACCATCTCAGCATTCATGAGCCATCTGGTACCTTGAGGTATGTAGAGAAAACATTTAAAGCTGTGTCTATGTCCGAATCATCAAATCTTTCCTAATCTCTCCGAACTGATTCAGAGAGATTAAAGGGTCTCCTGATTTGATTCGGATTCGGAGATTTGGCTGCCAAGTCAGGCCGAATCTCCACTGAATTGAATCAGCAACCGAATCTTCGCACAGCCCTAATACAACTATATATTTATTAGCTTCTGGAAGAAAAAAGATGGCTATAACATTGGTTCAGCTACATCTACAGTACTGTGGAGTCACCTTTTCTGTTATTAACTACTTATATATATTATACACATATAAATGTATATAGTAAATGATAGTGGGGAGTAATAGAAGTATTTTTACAAATGAGAGGTGAAATTTCCTAATTCTCAAGTGCCTGAGCTTATGTGAAACCACTCTCCTTTTAATAATATATATCACTTTATTTCTTTTGATAACAGTGAAGTATTTTTTTATACTTCACTAAGTGTCAAAATATAATGAACTTGTATGTGCATATATACTTGTATGTGCAAGATATATTTTTTATGTTTCATTCATAGATCTCAAAGCACCGTAAAAACATGGTATTTCATTTTAATAGTTCTGTTTTTCTTCAGAATAAGTTATATATATAATCTTTATCACACGTTGGTACAGAATAAACAATATACTGTATCAATCAACATAACACATGCATAAATGGTATAAATATATATAACATATCTTTGTGTCAGTGAAGATTTATATGCTAATTTATATGCTAGATTTATATGCTAATAAGCTATGTAATAATCATCATAAACAGAAAAATACCAATATTTCTAAAAAGAAATGCATCTAAAAAATATTTCTAAGTCTTCTCCTGAAGTACATCCAACAATAGGTAACAATGGTGGAGTCTGAGAAAAATATGAGAAAACAGTTCTTGTTGGATGTGTCCCATAGCCACTACAAATTATCTAAAAATTTCCTTTCTAGAAATACAAACAAATTATTAATTGAAATACTATTGCTGCCAATGTCCTTTCATGAAGAACATCAGACAAACTTGTTTTAAAAAAAGCACTTGAGTAATGTATTTAAACAGAAACTGATCCACAGTATTCTCTTGCATGTGAATCAGACTTGCAAACTTATCACGCGATGTTTAAATAAAAAAACTTACTCCAGTTTCAAAAATGAATATGGACTTTGCCAAGTTCTGCAATAGTTGTATCCCAAAGGATAACATGTTCAATTTAATATAAACAGATTATCCTGTTGGACCTTCTTCATACTTGCCTTTCCATGTTTCTTAAAAGTTTGTAACTTTTATGCTTTCTTTCTGCCAGCATAAACCTGTTTTGCATATTAACCATCAAGTATCAAAACTTGTTCCTAAGTCACAAATCTCAAAAGCAAGTTCTAAACTAAGTAGAGCCACTGAGGTAATGTTATCCATATTGCAAGAAAAACCATACTGCTGTAAATAAAGTGAGGCTAAATATGCAAAGTGAATACAATTCCAATAAATGCTTTCCTTATGGAGTAATGTAAAACTGGAACTGTTCACCTTACTGGAAATATGAGTGAGTGAGTAGAGACTGAAACACATAGGGTTGTAATTTAGGAATTTTACATGAAAATAAAAATATTTTATGTGAAAATGATTGTATAGTATAACACATTTTAAAGACACTAAAAAACAGATATGTGAAAATATTTAGGTACCTAAGGCCTAAGTAGTAGTTAGGCACATTAGGCACTTTTACATATGCTCTGGGGGTGAGTGGGAGGTGCTTTAATTTGCACCTGAGTGGCTCTGAGAGGCGCTCTAATTAAAGCGCTGCTGAATCTTGTGTATCAGCGTCCCTGTGTTTAAAAATGGTAGCAGGGCTGCTTGAACAAAAGTTCATTCAAGTTTTAGTTCAAGTGCCTCCGCTGCCATTTTTAAACACAGGGACACTGATACACGAGACAGAGGAGGCTGCTGGAGCGCAGTAATTGCCATGATCCAGCCGACTTGATTAATCAAGTCTGCTCCAACACACTGTAATTACAGTGCGTTGGAGCAGCCTCCACGCTCGCGTGCAGGCACCCCTAAATACCTTCTGTGGATCTAGGCCTAATTAAACTATAGAAATGTCAAAGATTCATTCAGAAGTAGGTATATATTGCAGTATATTTCCTCTTTGCCTAGTAAAAATCTCCCTCATTTTGATCCATATATACTTTTTAAAAGCCACAGTCAAGATAAAAGGGAACGATTTTTCACAAACTCGTAAGTGAATTAGAAGAATGGCTTCTGCTGATTTGCAATTACACTTAAGCTCCTTATTAAACCTGATCAGGATTTTTTATGAGACTTTTTAAATTAGAAAGTAGCTAAACATCTACTCTGAAAGTCTTCCGAGGAAAAAGTTGCTTTTGACCCATTCCTCTTTTGAAAAAAATTTGGAAAAAAGCTTTGAAAGTGTTGAACTGTCCCTTCTCACCATTTTTAAATCAATACCTTCATTTTTTTTTCATTTAGGATTACTTTTGTTTTTAAAAAATAAGTAAAATTAAGTTTAAAAAATTTAAAGGTAAAAAATTACACTTACAAAACTGTCAAAATAGTGCTCTGATGGAAACAATCTATTTTTTTCAGATGTTCAGTTCACAAAGAATTCATGATTCTTTTTATCCCAATTCAAAATTCTTATCGGATTAGGAAACTTTCCTGCCAAGCTCTTTTAGTTTGGTTAAGAACTTCTGAAAGTCCCAAATAAAAACAAAACATTAAAAAACTCGTATCTTTAATAACTTACGGTAAACTACTGAAGTTGAAAGTCTTTTAAATCTAATGTACTATGTCTGCTTTATGCAGTTTACTCCTTTTACATATTTCTTCCACCTTAAATGAGCAATAAAATAGGTTAGTATAACTACCAATTCTCATGCATTACCTGCATGTGTGTTTCCAATATTCTTGACAATTACTTAATTTAAAAATGCTTTCCCTGGGAAAAAAAAATCGTTTTAGATTCCATTTATCGAACCCTCAGACCTATTTAAAGTGTGTGTTCTATATTCTGCAGTCTCCTTTTAACTTTAAAATAGAAGAATGCAAACCAGAAACAGACTATGAGCTTGACCATGACCTCACTGACTAAATGCATTGTTCTGTATAATATTTTTTTCATAAGTGTGATGTAAGTTGAGTGTTTTTACAGTAATTTCCACACAAAACAAATAACAAATTCAAATTTTAAAAGAAACATAAATAGTACTTTACTTAAAAATCTACAAATTATGGTAATAAAATATTTATGAGGTATACGAATAAAACTGTTGTATTAAATTTATTATGGCATATTTATTATAACATATATATCATATTGTAATCTTAAACATTGGCTCTCAATAGGATATGTGCATTAAACAAATTTGCTTTACCTGAATTCCTTTCAATCCACATAGGAAGTAGTTGTGCCACAGAGGTTTTGTTTGGTTAATCTGAATGTTATTAACGCTAGTACTGAAATCCCTGCAAAAAAGTAAGGTGAAATTTAATATCAGTGAATTTAGTTAGTTAAAAAAATATAGGTTACTGCTGCCACCTGCTGATGAAATTGCAACATTAACATTTTGTCCTGAACATTTTTCCAATACACTATGTATTGCCTTCTATTTCTCTGTCTCTACTTCCATCTTATGGATCAGTTATTCAAAAAGTTTGTTAAACAGAGGCATAACTAATAGGTCCAACTAATTATAAAACAAGATATACAAGAATATGTTTGTGGCTTTTTAAAAATTCTGTTGGAAACAGCTCATGGCGAAACAGCTTTTAAAACATGCAAACAAAATGCATTTTTTACATTTGCAAGCCAAATATTGTAGTATTGCAGTAGAAACATCAGCACCTGAAAAGGAAGATGACTCCTAATCAGATGACTGATTACAAAAATAGTAAGACTAGTTAGACTACTATCTGGAAGCACTCAGCTTGCAGTAATCAATCCCATCTTAGTCTTACCCGCAGATACATGGTAAAGCAGTGGAGACAAATGTATAGCCTGCAGCTTGAATCTGGCCTGCAAAGCTACTCTGTCCCATCCACTGAGCTACCAGCGGGCCACTAGAAGGCAGGGGATGTGGTCAGGGAAGTGGCCTGCAGCTGAATCCAGGGCCCTCAGAGCTCGGTAGACATGGCGATCAGCGGCAGGAAGACAACAAAGGCCTGACGCACCCTGGTTGTTCTCTGGATGCCTTTTCTGTTGCCAGTGCCTAGACCTTACCTCTCTAGCTACTGGCCCCCACCACATGCCCTGTGCTGGAGTCAGAGCTCCTGCTGTGGCACAGGGGTTGAGGTGGCAGTAGCTCCATCTCTGGCATGGGGGACACAGCAGAGACTAGAGCTGCTGCTAAGTACCTTGGGACTGGGCATATATATTAACACTACTATGTTAATATATATACATGAAAATCTATGACCATGTCCTCCTTTAGAAAAGATTTCAAGCTAGGTCTGCTCAGGAATTCCAAACACAGATGACTGCAAGACCAAGAGATGATGAAAGCAGATGGACATAAAGGCTAGGTTCAGACATTCAAAATGCCCAAGGGGAAACTGATCTAAGTTATGTGGGTTTTTGTAAGCGGCATAATTTAGATCTGTAGCAAACAGAACACACATTTGCCTGGGGAAGGGGTGAGCAAACCAGTTTCTCCCATTTTTTAACCAGTCTGCATGTGCCAAACTCCTATTCCGTTATGGGCATAGATTGGTTTTGTGTGCTGAACTTCTGTTTCGTTATGGGTACAGACTGATTTCCAATCACTTATACCAGTAAAAGTATAATAGCTGTACCTGGCCAAAGAGGTAGTTAGTGTGGGACAAGGGAAGGCAGTAGAAATAGAAAAAACAGACCGGCTGCGTAAGAACCTGGAAGTGAAGACAAAGAGGTCTAATGAGAGGCTCAGAACAAGGGGAGAGACCAGGGAAAGGATTTGAAATGGGACAGATTTAACAAATATGAGGAGGCAAGCAGCAAAACTACAAGTGCCAATTTAAGAGGGGGCACCAGTTTGGCAACCTTAGGGAACCTGCACCAAACAGCCTGCTATTGGAGGCCACTCCCCAGCCCAAGCCACTGGGGTGGAGGGAGCCCAGCTATAGAAGGTAAAACTCTGGCCCCTGCTTGGCCCCTCTGCAACACTCCACTATTAGTATAACTTCCCTCCTGCTCTGGCCAGCGCACCAAAGGAGCTTGCTATGCCTCTGTAGGAGGTACATGGTGCAAGATGTCTGATTTGAAGACAACTGGCTAAGGAGGATTCCATCAGAAGAATAACATTGTATTTGTATTCATACATCACCTAGTCCTAGCTCATGTCTAGGATTCCTGGGCACTGTGGTAATATAAAGAATTATAATACATCTCTGTTAACAGCACTGAAGATTGTTATGAGAGGGGAAGGATATAAAAAGGGTAATATAATTTCGTTTCAAGAGATATGAGATGAACTTTAAGGCTAGGGACAGACATTCAGAAAGCTGGGGCCTGAATTGATTCAATCTTTGCAGGTTTGTTTAACCTGCCTTGACTGAACCAATTTGCAAGTGAATAGACATTCATGAAATGCAGGCACATGCCTGCAGTGGCTCAGGCCAGGAGGTGGTGGGGGGCGGTTATGAGAGCAGCCCTCAGCTGCAGGGAGGCTGTGCTGGGGAAGTGTGGCCAACCCTGGCAGTAGCTTGGAGTGAACTGGCCAGGGAAGGAGT